TGGACTTTGGCAGCACCTGGATACATCTTTTTAAGCCTGTCAAGTATTGTTTAGTGGTACTTGAAATTGTGAGTCTTTCTAAAATGCTTCTGTCAGCTGTAACTGCTTGGATGGACCTCTGTGGATCAATCCTGAAACAGCATTCAGTTTTGACTTAAGAATATGTGTCTTCATTGGCATTTCACACTCCTATTTGTTGTGAACAGTCCTATTTCATTAGCTGCTCCTCAGCCATCAAGGTTTCTGGTGAAGAATAGTCCAAAGCTCAGACTGCAGTCCAAAGCTCTGACTACAGGCCAGACCATAAATGAACCAAAAATCCATGTTGTGGGCCACTGATGGCATCTTCCTAAGTAAGAAGGGGTGATGCCAGGTCTGGATAACAGGGAGCTAAGTCAGATATATCCCACACAGCTGCAGAAAGAGGAGTGAGTCTCCCTCAGCTTCATTTCAGCCAGTAATTCCCATAAAACACCTATCTTCTCATGCTGGGATTGCTCTTCTTCCTGGGGAAACAAGAATAATATTTTTACATATACCAAAGTGCTATGTTCAAAAATTAATTAAGCTGTGAGACACTGTGTGTTTCATGCACACAAAAGGGAGAAGTCTAAGACACTGATGGATGGGAAAGAGGGTTCTCCAGATTCTCTGCTGGATGAGGATGAATTCAGACTGACAGCACACAGATCATCAAGGGATCAGAGCCCAGCATTTCTCCCCTTCTCTCAGGTTTTCATGAAGTGGAAGGGCAGAAAAGGAACCTCCCCCCTCCTTCAGTCAGTCAGCCACAGGATGGACTTCACTCTCTGATCTCATTACAGCGCCAGGGTAACACCCATAAACACACTTTTTGATCAGCACAAATGGCAAAACCATTGAGGAAATCCACTGTGTCAGCCACAACAACCAAAAAACCATTGCTTATGACAAAGCAAGGTGGCCCTTGAACTACAGGAATAAAGACTAGGGCTTTCAAAATTCATTTTGGGTAGGAAAAAAACCACCCAAAACCTCATCAGCATTATGAAATGCAGTGAGTACACAGAAAACAAACAGCAACTGGAGCATTCCTGGACCAGTCTTGGGTCTCAACCCTCTGAAACCTTTGCCTGTGTGCAAGATTAGTGTTTACTGGATTCTTCACCAATAAGAGACTTCAGCACAAGCTGACTGCACAGCCACTGGGATTTTAATGACCAATAAATTATCTGCTGTTTTGGAAAAGCCAGTTATGGTATTTAATTTGACAGCCCCATGCAGGGTGAATTCCATAGACACAAAACAAATGTCAGGCCTCGAGACTAACACACATTTCCCCAGATGCAAAATACACATCAGTTGCTCTCTTAGGAGGATGGAAAAAGCGAATCCCTCTAAATTATGCAAACCAAGCAGTGAGAGGAGGCTTAAAGACTTTGCTGTTAAGAAGTAAACCATAAACCACATTACTGCTTTCATATCTGCCTTTTTAAATTTACTTTTTTTCCTTTTAATGCCTTTCCATGATATGCAATGCAACTATTTTCAGATCTGCTCCTGAGTTCCTGCAACTGGCATTTCTTAGAGGGAATTAATTCTCATTTCTCTTCAGGACTGCCACCCTGCCCCCTAAACACTCATCTTGCTCCCATAGGAAGACTTGGACCATGGAAGATCTTTTCCAATCCAACTTCTGTTTAATTTTGCATGAGGGAAGACAGTGAGGGGAGAGCTTTGTCTTTTCCTCATCTGGTATCTCATTCAGATCTGAGTTGGAACAGAAACAGAGGAGGAACATCCACTGAACTCTAAGTGCTTTCCAGCTCTGGCTCACATCTGTTGCTAATGTATCTTTATATCACTGGATAGTTTAATAAACAAGGAAGTAAGAGCTGTCCGGAGAGTCAGGTCCCATCATTTCAGAGCTCCATCCCCGGCTCTGACACGAACCTCTTGCAGAGGCTGATGTATTTACATGATTTTCATTCTGCCCGTTTGCTAATTGAAATAACAACACTTTTCCTTTGCCATGAGCCAGAGCGGGGGAGTCGGGAGGAAAAGCAGAGTAAAAGGTTGCTGTGATGGGGCAGCAGTGTGATGGGGCAGCAGCCCTGATGTCACTTGGCTGTCACAAGTGTCAGGACAGCGAGGGGCACAGGCCGGAGCTGAACGGCGCTGGGGGAGGCACGGAGAGCGCTTGAGATGTTCAAATAAACTGCGGAACAGCCTAGCAAGCGCTTACTCAGAATCCACGCAAGTCAGCAGCAGCTGTCCCACACAATCAGAGGCTGCGGTACCGAATTACAGAGCTCGGCAAGGGCACGGCTTGCGCTCCCGGGACGAGGGCACGGAGCCAGCTCGGCCGCCCTCTGCGTCCCTTCCTGCCTCTCCGCATCCCTCCCGCATCCCTCCCGCATCCTCCCGCATCCCTCCCGTATCCGTCCCGCATCCCTCCCGCATCCCTCCCGCATCCTCCCGCATCCCTCCCGCTCGGTCCCGCAT